CAATCTCTCGTCTCAGTGTTCTCAGTTGGTTTAGTCTGAGGTTTTGAAGATAAATGCAGCACTGTCATGAAGAAATACACTGATTGGAAGAAGTTGTGAGGAACTGTTGGTACACAGGAAGAAGCTTATGTCTTTGAGGGCAAGAGCAGGAAGAACATAATGAAATTTAATAGTATTATATCATAAAGGCTATGTTGCAGGAGTAATTACAAGACTATTTGGATGATGGTCTTAGTCATATTGTTTAGTTTTTGTTAGTCCTGTGAGGAGCAGGGAGTTGGTCGCAATGATCCTTATGGTCCCCTCCAACTCAAGATACTCTGTGATTCTACAGTAACTCTGGTGTCATCAATCTGGAAGCGTCACTGGAGGAGAAGTCCGGGGTATATTAGTCAGTCATAGATGAATCACCAGTGTGGTATATCTGGAAAAAAAGAGAAAAAGTTGTAATTAGGAAAAGTCGTGATAAAAATCTCATCTGCAGTGTAGGTAGGTTTCTGGTCATCCACTGTCAAGGAAGAAAAATTCAAATTGGAAAATATGCTTTCCAAGACTGCAGAAATTATCAGAGAATAAACAAAAATTGGTGTTACTTAGAGGTGAATTAATTTAGACAAGAAGTTAGAAGAAAAAGTGTGTTCTGGCAAAGCCTTCCATGTCAGAAAACACATCTCACATAATTTTCAGATATAAATAGGTATGACTAAATTCAGCAGGCCAGAGGTCTAGGGCTTTGTGTCTTTCTCAGCTCCTTTCAAATAGATCTAAACCTTCACATGTTGTATGTGGTTTTTGACAGAGCAGACAATCTTCTGTAAAAGTTCTTCACTTAATACCAGAAACAGGTTGCGATGTCCCCATAATGATGTCTACATATTGCATTTTTTTTCTTGTTTTCCTTTCTTAGTAAAGATGAATAAATATTGGAAACATAGCTGAAAAGTACTCAGTTAACAGGGTCACAGTGCTGCCTAGCAAATACAAGACAAAATTAAGACTGTGTTTAAATTTAAAAAGCCTGTGACAGTTTTCTTTTTCAGTTTCTTCCCCCACTGTTTTAGACAGGGAGATGTCTTCCTTAATATGAACTTCCTGTCTTCTTGTGGGGTGTATAGGAGCCCCTGCCAAGTATACTGAAGATACTTAGGGACAATTCCTACTTTAAAAGGAAGTGCTGGAGCATTTAATGTTATTTTATTGATAAAGGCGATCAATAAAGTTCTCCTTACACCTTTTGAGCTCATTAGAAAAATTTGAAACTATATATGACTTCAGTGCTATACTGCCAGAACTGCTGGTGGAGCTGCTATCGACAAGGATAGAGCATTAGGTTCCTCACGGTAGTTACATACCTCATAGTGATAATATAATTTTAGGATGTATGTGTGTATATGCAGCCAAGAAAAGAGAGAGAATTAAATATTCCTGTATCTCCTGTTCTTCAGCATATCCTTGTCGTGGTTTGAGCCTGGTCGGCAGCCAAACACCATGCAGCCACTCACTCCCCCATCTCTCAGCAATGAGAAGGGACAAATGAGCCAGGCTTGGGAATCGAGATAGGACTGGGAGGAGCAAATCGCCCATTATGGTCACGGGCAAAAGGCAGCCTTGTTAGGGGAACATAGATTTAATACAGACACTAACAACAACACTTAACAGAGTAGGACAGTGAGAAGCACTGCCACATCTTGATAACACCTTCCCCCCACCCCTCCCTTCTTCCCGGGCTCAGCTCTGCTCCCGATATCTCTACCTCCTCCCCCAGCGTCACAGGGGCAGGGAATGGGGGGTTCGGTCAGTGCTGCCACTTCTTCCATCTTCTGTGGGGGTAGCTTCTGGAACTTGTTCCCCCTGCTTCATTGTGGTCCTCCTCTCACAGGACACAGTCCTCCACAAACTTCCTCTGATGTGAGTCCCTCCCATGGGCTTCAGTGTTTCCTTACACTGCTTCAGCGTGGGTCACCAACTTTCTCCAACTGAAGTCTCTCTCCCACAGCTGCAGCCCTTCCTGAGCTGCTCCGGTGTGGGACACCCCCGCATGCTGCAATCCTCCCAATGCTGAACTACAGCAGTGGGGGCTGCCTTTTCCCACAAGGCCCAAGCCTTCTTCAGGCACAACACCTTGATCATCCGGGTGAAAAACACAGCCCACAAATCAGTGTCTGCTCCACCGTAGATCTTCATGGGTGGCAGGGGGGGCCGCCCTGCCATCTCACCACAGGATACAGGGGGGGTCTCTGCTTTGGCACACCTCCCCCCTCCTTTCTTCCTCCGTTCCTCCACTGACCTTGGTGTCCATGCAGCTGCAGCAACTCCTCCTTACCAGTCCCAATGCTCCTCACCACGTCCCTTCTTAAATACGTTATCGCAGAGGCGCAGCTGATTGGCTCAGTCTTGGTGCAGAGGTGGAGCTGACTTGGAGACAGGGGAGCTTTGAGAAGCTTCTCACAGGGGGCTGCCCCTGTAGCCCCCTCCCCTGATACCAAAAAACCCCACCACTCACTCAAACCCAGGACAATCCTAAACTTTGGATACAAGTTTTTGAAATTAAAAACTTGTCCGTTTTCATTTACTCATTTTTCAGAAATGAGGAATATGATGAAAGTGGGAGAGCTTAAATGATTAGTCATCCACAAATCCTTATTAACTGTCTACAAGCACTGATTCAGTACCATACCCCTTGAAGCAAAAAGGAAGAGTAAAGTAATTGTAATTCAGAGGAATTTCTGTTTGTTTAAATTAGTTTAAAAATGTACGTGACTAGTGTACTTATGAAGATTGTACAGAAGACAGATGTTCAACTATATAAAATTTGGTCTGTTTCGAATTGAAATGGAAGGTTGTTTTTTTTTTTTTTTTAAATCCCATACTCCCTCCATCCATATGCATAAACATTAAATGTTCCAATAAATTTGGTTTCAGTGTGAAAAACTGAAGCAATTTATTTGAAAAATGTCAAAGCAGGACATTTTAAATTTTAATACTATTCCGTCTTCCTATTTTTCAGTAAAACGAATTTTCAGAACAGTACCAGATTTGGTGAACCACATTTTGATGAAGCTGCGTATTATATCGGTACCTTTTATCCAAATGTCTCCATGATTTTCTGTTATAGTATGTATACATTGTGGTTAATTTCAGTATATCATGATGAAATTTTTGAAAGAAGATCTGTATCTAACCGTATCATTTAAAGGAAAACACCACTGATTAACTAAAACATACTGGTATATTGGTTTTAGCCAGCTTGTCCAGAAGCTACACTTCTGATGAAAATGAACTTACAGTGCAAAATTGTGTTAAAATCGTTTTGAATCTTCATGGATACTTTAAAATATTATTCTTCTTAGCTAGTTCTACTTATTTATGTATGATTTTTTTTTTTTTTCAGAATATCATGGAAACAGTGGCATAAGTTACATGAAATTTCCATTTCATATGTAATAATAGCTAAATGGTTTTACTGAAGAAATGCGAAGAAAGTAATTTTAAAGTACAAGAAAAGTAATGCTTTGGAAATCGCTTTTTGCATCATCAGAGACTGTGGGAATCAAAAGCCTTGAGAATTATGCTGTATAACAGGTTATCTAGAAGAGCAAGGCTCTTCTTAAGTTGCTTTGTGTTAATGGTTATTATAAATTTAAAATTTACCCACAAGCAACACCTGATCGTGCTGTAGTATATTTTCTTACTAGTTGTAACAGCTATTCTGTTTAGGAGTCCAAAACCAAGTTATGCTAAAAACCTAGTTTTTTTGAATATTTAATGTTAATAAATTTAACATTTCACATATTTCTTTATTTATTTCTATGTAATTCACTCCAGTCTATCAATGTCTTTTATGTACTGGTGAGCCCAGAACTGAACCCAGCACTCCATATGTGGCCTCACCAGTGGTGAGAAGAGAAGGATCCGTCCCCTTCCTTGACCGCTGGCAACACTTTTCATAATATAACCTGAGATGCTGTTGGCCTTGTTTGCTTCAAGAGTACATTGCCAGCTCACGTCCCACTTGAAGATCCCCTAGCTCATTTTCTGAAAAGCTGTTTCCCAGCTGTTCTGTCCACAGAGTGTACTGGTTCCCTGGCACAGGACTTGGCATTTCCCTTTATTGAACTCCATGAGATTTCTGTCAGCCTGTGATCACAGAAATTTAGCAGGCACTAATTTACAGGTATCATCATAAGTCAAAATGTCCCATAACTGAAACTCAGCCCACAGAGTTGACTGCTCCTCCTTTGCTGTAATCTTTGCTTCTGCACCTGTAATTAACCAAATGTTAAAAAAAAAAATTCTGATGGTGATGGGTAAAAATAGATAGAATTTTAGGATCACTTAATTTTGGTTTTCCCTCAGTACTGTACTAGAAATAATAGCTTATCTTTCACTTTACAGAGAAGTATTAGGTAAGACACTTTTGAACATAAATTTATATGACTGGCATGTATCAAATAAGAAAGTATAGGTTTTTCTGATCTGTCAAATAAGAAAGTTTAGCTTTTGGGTAGTTTTAAGAAGTATGTCATTTTAATTCATAAATTAACTTTTCTTAAAGAGGAATCTGTGTCTTCCTCAGTGGGATAAGAATTCCCATTCATTAATATTTTTATTAAGTAGGTATTTAAACAGTTATATGAGAAAACACTGGAGTTTTGGCAATGTACCTTTTGGCTAGGAATGTTCTATAAATTGGATCAATTATTTATTAATATAATAGTTGTTTTAATATATATTAATTTATTTGTATCCTCAAACAAGTTGATTGTCTAGCAGCATCTAGCATTTTCTTTATATAAAGATATATATTTATATATATATGTATACACAGAACACAAACAATTAAAGCCAGCTTATTTTGACTGTAGAAAAGCTTCGCATTTCCAGAAAATCTGCTGTGCTCCACTTTTCCTGAAAAGAAAGGTTATGCCTAGCCTTTCCTCTTGCTGAAACAAGCTAATCCTGATCTTTGTTTTGTTTGTTTGTTTGTTTTTCCATCACAGGAGTCATCAGGACTGCCTTGCACAACATGGACAGGGAAGCCAGAGAGCATTATTCCGTTGTCATTCAAGCCAAAGATATGGCTGGGCAGGTCGGAGGGCTGTCAGGGTCAACAACTGTAAATATCACACTCACTGATGTCAACGACAATCCACCCAGGTTTCCTCAGAGTATGTACAATTTCAGCATATAACTGAATTGAAAAGAAGCTAGTACTGAAATCCAATTAGTATTCAAATTACTGGGGAGAAGGCAGCTTGGGAAGTGTTTGGATTCACCAATATTTTTCAGTTTTTCAGTGTTTTCAGATGAAGCACAGAGATGACATAGCTAGAATATCTCTTTCAATTAAAAAAGTGAAAGTTTATTTCAATTAAACACTGAGTAAGAGTGAGATGGGTGACAAATGAATACTTTTGTCATGTGGGTTATTCTCCAGTCCTTTTTGAATTTATATTTCAATAACTGTGTGATTTTGATCCCACAAGTGAATTACATTGTTCCAACGGTAGACAACAACAAAAGGTAACACATTAAAAATTGAATACAGCATGCCTTTGGCTGCTTCCATACACATCTATCAGTTTTTTACTTCTGTTTCTTTCTCTGTGATCTTTAAGATCAGTTTTTACATTAGAGATGGTCAAAACCTAAGCTGTTTCTCACTGTTGTTGATCTATGGTGGAGTCTGCCTTTATCCTAGTTAAATGAATTGTTGATGTCAAACTGTATGTTCTCACATGTATATATGAAAATTATATGCTAGAATACTCTGAGAATGTTTTAATATGACCACTAATAGGAAGTTCATTTCTGTCCAACTCATTGGGTGCACATTGACCTGACACAGCAGCTGGAGTCTTGTATGAATTCAGAATTCAGTTAACAATTTATTTAAAAATCTTCTGGAATGTAATTGCATAGGTAAACCTGCTTTCCTTTGAAGATTGTCTCAAGGACAATGAGAATGTTGTAATCTGGACTCAGACATCATGTGAGCCCTTGTAGATCATAATGGACTGGTAGCTATACGTGCATCCACCAGGAAGTGCTCTAAGCTGTTTGAAAGAGATTTATAAACAATAATATAGAGCACAAAGCTCCAGGGGAAAACAAAGCTCCCTGGCAGCACACATTATGTAAAATCTCATCAAGCAGTAAGAAGTCTTATTAGAAGTGTTGTAGAAATTAATATTTTTTTTCTGTGCCTTACAAACACATAAACATAAAGCCTTTGAAATACAGCCTCAAATAATGTATATTCGGTTTTATGTTCCACAGAACTGTAATTTCATCCATCACTCTAATACTTCCTAACCATTGGAAAGGCAAAAGATAGGGCATATTTTTGAATAAATATAACATCTAAAATAGTTAAAGTAGAAAAAATGTCCTAAGTTTCTTGCAAACCCAGAAACAAATTGATCCCTGTATATCAGGTTTCAAGAATTAGTCTCTTTTATTTTGAATAGAATGTTTTAGAGAGTAAACTGACTGACAGGCAGAACTGTATGTTGGCATATGCATTTATTCATCTGTATTAGTATGTTGTCATAAATTGAAGAAATATAAAACGTTCCGGTTATATTCTATACATTTTAAGGGTTTCTAATAATTGCAAAAAATAACATTGAAAATTACAAAATGTTATGTCATGTTTAATGAAAACTCATTATTTATCAAAATAAAATAAAATAATTTTAGCATTTACCATTTTTAACAGAAGATATTAATCCTAGAACAAGTACTTGCAGAGTACAAACATTTGCTTTATCTTTCCTTACAAAGGATTCCTATACCATAGTTATAACTACAACATTGCTTTTTTACTCCTTTTCCACAAGTATCATTTAAACCCTTTGCAAAAGAAAGGTAGCTGTATGTTAGTAGTACAGAACAAAAGTATTGGTGATCTAAAATCAGGCCATCTTAGCATCATGAGCCATTACAGTAATGCATGAGTATTGCACTAGTATAAATAACTTCATTGTTTATTTTTCTTCTCTTTTCTTTGTATGCCATGGTTTTCAGTTAAATTTCTTTTCAATTTCCTTATTAGATGGAATACTAAATGAGACTTACTGAGGCTTGTCACATTCAGAATTGAATTCAAGGGAAGTGCTAACCAAAACTGCACATATATCAAATGTATAACCCTTGGGACAAGCTGAGTCTCAGCTAAACTGCAGAGTTTCTTTTGGTTAGTTTCCTTTTCTCCATTATCATATTTGTGAGTTTTGAATCTGACGCTAACTGTATGAGTATTTCACTTGAGAACATGATTGGAAGCACATCTGATCGATGTTTTTATTATTTGTTTTATTTAGAAATATGCTTTATTGTACATATTTAAAAGATCGTACGTTTCTGGTTTTGGTAGAGCAGCGTTCATCAGAGGTGTATATGGAGTAAGCTATGCAGGATTTGTCCCCCTTAACAAAATACTTTAAAAATCTATTTAAAACTTAGAAATAGAGGTTGCAAATATATCTGCTTAAATGAATGTACTGTGTTTGTTTTCTGTATTTACCCTAAATATAGCTGTCTTTAAAAGAAATTTCTAACAGAACAGCTACAGTAGATCTACAGTTTTCCAAAATATCAAAAAACCTAGGAGGAAGAGTATGAAACTCTACTGCATGTGATATGTGTGATGGTTACAGTTCTGAAATACATAGTAATAATAATCTCTGGAATAGGAAATATAGCTGAAAAATACTGCTTGCAAAACACAGTAGTATGTCTCAGAAGTAGGCAAGGGGTTGTGAATTCAGCAGGAATATAACCTGAAACCTCAAATACATTTTGTTTATAAATTACATCAGTGCATCTTATACAATACTGATTTCTTTTTCTTCAGCACCACAAATTTCCTTTCTTTAGAGAGTTTAGTGATAAATGAACTATCCATTTAATGTAAGCTGACAGACAGTGCTCTGCATGGGAAGACATTTGCTTTTCAATAATCAGCATCTCTCAGTTCTTGTTAGTTTTACCACTGATGGATCCACTCAGTTGATGGCTGTAAAGCCCTAATTTCATAGTCATAAATCTATTTCAGTAATCTGTTTTTCCAGCTACTGATGACACTTATCAGCCTTGAGTTACATCAGAATTTTCTGTATAGTTTTCTTTCGTTAATTCTCACTGGTCTTGTTCAAGATAAATAGATTCTGCATGTTTTGCTTTGTTCTGATTGCATCAAGATCATCACACTAGGAAAATACTTCTACTGACATGTTTTGTCCATCAAGTGTTAATGACTGCATTCTGAATAGTGTGTAGGATATCTGTAGTTACTGTGTGTACAGTCTAATTTTACAAGGAAATGGTTTCCCTGATACCCCATTTGTAGATTTGTTTGTTTGTCTGTTTGATATGCCTAGCTCAGTTCTTTAAGGCATAGCAGAATTTAAATACAAGTCATGGTTTAAAACATACTTTATAAAGCTTGATTGCTGAGGCTTGGTTGTTTCACAGCAGTATATATATATAATGTGAAATTATGTATATGCATAATTAGTTTGGTCTCATTTTTTACATCGGCATTGTATGAAAAGTGCACATCCATGTTTAAATAGGAATGTTGTATGAATATACTCCAGTTAGTTCTGAAAAAGTAAGCTCATATCCCAGAAGTAAACACTAATTCTCTTCTGTATAAGTAAGGTGTCTTCTGTCGGGCCTTGTTAATATAACTCATTAGCTAATTAAGTGCAAAGGTATCTCCTGTTCATTTTCTTGTGGAATTTATACTCTAATATTGTCCTTTCCATATCCCCAGTTCTACCTAGTACATCCAGTTCCTATGATTCCCGTACATAACGGTCAGCATCCTCTCACTCCCCACTGCTGTGTACTGTAGACTGTCCTGTCCTCCTGTGGTGACTAGCGTAGAGCTGTCTGCCTGCTGATTGACCACTTGGCTGCTGCCAAATGAGATGAGTAAAGTGGAATTTTCCCTGATTTTCTTCTAGCAGGTCTTTCTCCTCTTCAACCAGTAATTGTCAAGAGGCTTGTAGAATCATGTCTTTGAGGCCTCTGCCCTTTTCTTAGATTTGCCTGAAATTGGACAGAGGTTAACAGTTACTGGAGACTATTGAATTAAAATGATTACAGAAGTTGTGTGTCCTCAGGAAACTCAGATTTGAAACAAAGCAAGAAAAGGACTTGATAAGTGGTTTGGTTTAAGATTGCTGACATCTGATCAACTGCACCCTTGTAAATTAGATTTTGTTCATACCTAGTAATCTAGTTTCCTGTTCATTGTGTCTTTTATGTGATGATGATGAGTCCAGCAATGATCCAGTGTCCAGGGCATATTAGGAAGCATTTTATTCCAGAAATTATTTTATATTTAAATGTTGTTTATTTAATAAGACTTTTTTTTTTTTTTCATTATAATTAGAGGAATGTCTTTTTCATATTTCACACTACAACACTTACTACTTCTGTTACTATTCCCAAGAGCTACTAGCTATAAAATACTAAAGGTAAAATGTAGTGCAATTGAATAGTCCCAAGTATCAGTTATTGCAGAAGAGATGCTCAGGTCTTTTAATAAGACCTTAAATCAGGCTAGAAAGAGATGTAAAAACTTGATTTAAAGCCAGATTTACACAGAACCCTAGTATTTTGATCTTCAGAAAATGTATTCCTGAATATAGCTTTATTCTCTTTCTTTAAAAGTGGTTACCACCCTGTAAATTTTATTTTATTCTCATTTTTCTCATTCGTGTATTGCACAGGTAAGTTTTTTTTTTCTACTGCCATGTTCACTGTTTGATTCTATAGGTGATTCACAATTTAGGATGTGCTTTTCTAGAGTTATAGTTTACATATTATCAACAATTTTTATCATATATGTATTCCAGGATGTCTAAAGAAATATAGATCATAATCATATTATTTGTTTATTTTTTTCCATCTGTAAGATTTAGGGAGGATCATTCTTCCTTCCTAGTAGTTAGACAAAGTTGGCTTTGGAAACAGCTCTTTGTGTAAATAGTATACAGGATGAGCCTGGTGTGTATGAGCAATCTACTGAGAAGCAATTATTAATAACTCATTAAAAGATAAAATGAGTAACATATATACACATACCAGGGAAAATACCAGGAAATTAGATATTTCTAGGTCATAAGGAAATACAGCAGCCTGTATTAAGATA